TTTTCTTCATAACAATTTTTTTCTATTTTCATTTTATTTCAGAGCATCGTGGGCCACCAAAAATTACCTTAGGGACCACATGCAGCCCGTGGGCCGCCACTCCTGCTCTAGCTAATATGTTCACTAACCCAATAAGTCAGGGGGTGGCGGGGGTGTGCATAACTGTTTGAACTTCTAGTAAGAAATCTTGGTGAAACCTGACCACTACAAAGAACTTCAGTTTAAGTACTCATATTGCTTTACAAAGACAAAGCAATTAAAACAGCCACTTAGGTGGCCCCCTGGAATCTCTCCCATTAGTGTAGAGGATGCCTGCTAGTTTTTCAAGACAGGCCCCCATTCTCTGGCACAGTATCCAATCAGCGTATGATATTTGGTTGAATTCATTCTGTTTGTCTGACGGAGGACTTGGGGCCAGCTTTCAGTGTGAACACTCCCTGATCACTGGGTGGAATGAAGATCTGCTGTTAATTACCAGACAGCTTTCTCTCTTCCTGATAGCTGTCACCACCATTTCCTTTTCAATCAAGTATCCACTTCTTGCTTCACACTGATCCTTGAAGAATTGAAAATGTTACAAGGAAAATGTGTTCACACCTGGGTTCCATAGGTACTCTTTTCCCCAGGAACCCTCACCCGTCTTCTCCCATGCTTTGTCCCGCAGCTCTTAGTTCGGTCTTGGTTCATTTGAAGGTCGAAGGTTTGGATTCAAGGAATGAATCAGTTCGTTGTATTACAGTCTATTGCCAGCAATGTTTCACTATTTGAGTCCCAACTGTTTGACCTTAACCTAAAGTTATTTTGAATCTCTGAATTTGCGTCGCCTGAAATCCAAGCAGCTGGTTGGAGAATATCATGGCCACTCAGAGGACTGAAGCGGGCCTTCACAGAACGGTGTTCACCTTTTTCTTCTTCTTCCTCCTCTTCTTCCTTCTCTCAGAGAGCCAAGGGAGTTTGTGGAGAAGTCTGAGTGCATCGAGTGCCATCCTGAATGTCTGCCGCAGCTCATGAACATAACCTGCACGGGACGCGTAAGGAGCCCATTTATGATTGCCTTCACTCACGCTTCCCAGGGAACCGCTTTCCTAGCAAGAGAACCATGACAGCGACCTAAAGCCACCCAAGGACACCACTTCTTAGAGCAGATACGGTGTAATTCTGCAGCCATGAGCAAGTAACTGTGTTGCCCATCACATAGCCCCCAGGCGACATTTTCACCATACAGAGACCACGTGGTGCTATTGGGCTATAGTTGGATTGCCAGCCACAGGATCAATGGTTCAAACCCACCAACCACCCCACGAGAGAAAGATGAGGCTGTCTGCTCCCATAAGGACTGACAACCTAGGAAACCTAACCGATTGTTATGTGTCAGAATCGACTCGATGGTAGTGAGTATCTAGTCACCACAAACATGAAAGGCCACAGTAAATGTTGACTTCTTCGGATTTTATCTCTAGAAGTCACGTTGTTAGCGGCCGTCCTGTTGACCCCTGCCTCACAGTGACCCCATCCATGCACAGCGGGATCAGACCATTGTGGCCCATGTGGTTTTCATTGGTTAATTTTCAGAAAGAGATCACAAGGCCTTTCTTCCTAGTCCATCTTGCTCTGGCAGCTCTGCTGAAACCCGTGCAGCACCATAGCAACACACAAGCTACAAGTCGTAGCACTTGCTCTGTTGCAGACGTCTGTCTATTGCTTCATCTTCTTGATAAACCATTATCAACTTTTTGTGTAACATTAGTATAAAATAGTAGAAGAATTTTGAAAGAACTCTTGATTCATAGTTTCACATGATCAATAATTGCCTTTTCAGAATGTGAAATTCAGACTCTCATCCCAAAGTCATAATGCTGTTAACTCAATATCTATAAGAGCTTTGACAGGATTTGAGCTTCAGCAGTTATCTCGAATCCTACTAATTGAATGTTATCAGAAGTCTCTCAGAATGAGACAGAGATGTAGAGTCCATGGTGTGAGGTATAGAGCACCAACATGGCTGGTTACAAAGTAGAACGCTGATTTGTTCCTTTAAATGTTCACCCTTGGCATTAACCAGAGCTGTGGTCTGAGTCTCCGCTGTTCTGGCTCTGGGTATGCTCAGCCTTTGAGTGGACCAAATGGAGACATTAGAGAATGTAGACAACTGAAAATTCCTTCCTTGAATATTTGATTTCAGTGCCTTTGTGAAGGGGGGGGCACACCCTGAGAGGACCCAGTGCTTTCCCTTCTGTAAGTGTTACAAAAACAGTCCAAGTCTTACAAACGGAGCCAAATGTATCAGAGGACACCATTAAGAATGCACCCACCCTGTACTCACACTGGCCACTGTCTTGCCATTAGAGAAACACAGAATGTGCCTGAACAGCCTGCCTTCCCTCCACAGCTCCTTTATCTTCAGAGACGACCTGCGACAGAGCGCGTCTGGCCAGTAAACACATAAATAGACACGAAGCTTAGTCCCTATTGTGTTAAGAAGGAATGGTATTCATGATGCATGAAGCAAAATTTCATTTCCTTTTTTTTTTTCTATTTTTACATATTACATACATTTGAAGTCAGGAGACATTTCTTTACTAAACTCTTAACAGTACTCATATTAGACAAGAGCAAGCATCACAGATTTGATTTCTCCTTTGGGAAATTCTGTATTGCTTGTACTTTGTTTTCCTAGTTAGCGTGTTTTGGGTTAAAAAAAAGTAACTCCCACTTTGAAAGAGATAGGAACACTCCTAAATGCGTGTCTGTGTTGACACAGGGGCCTGACAACTGCATAAAGTGTGCCCACTACATCGATGGGCCCCATTGTGTCAAGACCTGCCCAGCAGGAATCCTGGGAGAAAACAATACGTTGGTCTGGAAGTATGCAGATGCCAATCACGTGTGTCACCTGTGCCACACAAACTGCACTTTCGGGTGAGTACAGAGCTAGCCCTGAGAAAAGAGAATGCAAAGTAACAAGTGGTTTCCATTCTTGCAAATTCATAGATTGAAAATGTCTCAGATTTCCCTGCAACAAATGGCACAGGCTTGTATTTGAGCCTTTTCCCTTCCCTGCTGTGACATCGGTATGTGGCAGCAGCAGTGACATGATCCTGGGTAGATAACAGTGCAGGTAGGAATGTTTCGGTGTCCCGCATAACGTTTGTCCTATCAGACATAGTCCAATAAGGAAGAAGCAGCTCACATTGGACTGAGAGCTTAGGTGCTGCCAGCTACCACCCGGGCCTCTTTTCAGAGGCGTTTACCTTTCTCTTCAGAAGACTCGTATTTCCAAGGGAATTTGTTGTTGTTGTTTAGCAGTTAATAAAACTAGCGTTTCCTATTCTTTGACTTAAAGACATTTAGCTAATTGATCGCTAAGTTGTCACTAAGTGAATTAAAACAAGGTTGAATAGAGTTATCACAAGAGCTCTAAATGTATCCACGTTATTTATTGGAATGAAAAATTTGGCAGTCAAACTGCGCTATTGCCAGCAATAGAAGAGAAGTTGAGTTGACATACGTAATCTTTCATGTGTCCTGCATCTCCTCTCAGTGTCTTCAGCCTTCTTTGTAACTGTTACTCTTTCTTTATCTGGATCCAACTCTTTCTAGCTTTGTGGTCTTGGACAAATATAATATGTAATTTGGTTTAAGACTAGAATTAAGTATAGCCGTAGGACTACAGTGATAACTCTTCATGTTCCTAGAAGGAAAGGCCATTTGAGTACACTCATGGAAGAGTTTAAGCCCGGAAGCAGGTCATCTAGAGTTTGGATGGACCGGTGTGTGACTTGCGTTGTTCCCCCTTCCTGGATCTCAGCTAATGGGCCAATAGAAAGGCTCCGTGATTCTTCACATGGATCAACAGTGTTATAAATATTTATATAATCTCCCTGCCTCCTAGCCTTCTCATCTGTATTTGAAAATAGCCATTGACCCTCTAGTTGTACGTATCTTTTTTGCTTTTGTTTTTAATACCATACTCCCGGGTGACAAACTGTAATCTTCTGGGATAAATAGTTCCTTCATTTAAAGGTGGCTTGAGGAGATAATTTCAACTGAAGGTTTGAAAAGCAACCGAGGGCCGTAGTCTAGGGAAATCCTTCAGTGTCAGCAGGTCTATCTAGTACGTCCAGATTATTTAAGAATTTGCATTTCTGTTCCATAGCTTCTCCTTGTTTAATCAGTGTTAAACTACTGTGTTTCTTATGAGAGCATCCTGATAAATAGTGGAAGCCAGACACCATTTGGTTCTTCTGGTCTTACGGTGGAAGAAGCTGTGGTGCCTGTAGGCAATTAGTCCTTATACTCCAGTTCCTCCTCTGATTCATAGGTGGATTCGAACTGCTGACCTTGCAGTTAGCAGCCCAGTGTGTAACCACTATAACCTTATCATCAGTATCCTTCTGACTAGCCTCTGCTTCATTCCCTCACTGTTACATGATTCCTTAAAGTCCAAGCTTGGTCCTAAACCTGCAGTAATTCTACAATGATCCCAATAACTGTTTCTAGTCTTGGCTTCTATTCCCCCATTCTTATTGACATTGCAGAGTCGGCTGTGAGTCAACGATGCCTGTATCAAAAGTATTATATTAAAATTTTCAATAATGCAGGTCAGAAGCTGTCTACTTTGTTTAATGCACAGAGTCGACATGCAAAAAGAATTGCTGGGTATATGAACAAAGGAATAAATGCATAATAGATAAATAATCACCACGCCACCACTGAGATACATTGTGGATTTAATGATACTTTGTGATTTTAATGATTTGAGAGTAATTTAGCATATATTACTTTATGATTTTATTTTATAAACCTCCAAGGGAAAAATCTGATGAAGTGGAATGAGTAAAATGTGTATTTTTTCTGTTTCACTCCCGCAGCTGTGCTGGGCCAGGTCTCGAAGGCTGTCCAACAAATGAGTACGTGTTACAACCTCACGGACACGGTCAGAAATGCTCAGGCTCTAGCCCTGCTGAGTTCTTAGTCCTCCTCTGAGACCATTTCCTCCTCCTGGCCAACATTGGGGCGGGGGTGTTTGTGGTGGGCGGGAGGGCAGGAGGGGGAGGGTCCTGCTTCATAGGAGCCAGTGCTCAGTGCGCAGCCACTTCTTATCAGACAGAAGGTACAGAGGTTGTCTGAATGAGTATAAACGTTTTGCAGCATCTTTCTCTTCTTCTAACTTACCTTTTATTCCCACTATCCCAATTGGTTCTGTCAAAAACCTAGGTTTTATCAGACTCTGTTCCGTTAAACAAAAACCCAGGCTAGGGGTACTCTCCTCTCGTGACTTGCTACCCCCAGCAAGGCCCTGCGCTTCCTTCCGCATTTCCATTGTGATCATTAATGGACGGGTCACTTTTTGAAGGGCTGAATTGGGAAAGCAGAACGGCCTGTTACTACTCAGGAGGCCAGAGCAGTACCATCAATTCACCATGTCCAGCAGGGAATCAGGACAATGGCACACAAGACACTCGGGTGTCATTGCTGACGTCCTCTAAGACTCTCAGACTTATAGGCATCTCTGCCATTTCTAGTACTGCCCGTGAAATCCCTTCCCTCAACAGCCCACGTCAACTAAGTCCACTCATCTGCTCCAGGATGGGCCATGATTTAAGGACCCCCAGTTAAATAAACTAAAGGAAATCAGACAGGTTCTCAAGAGATACGTTCCTCCTTTCTTCGTCGGTCGCTGCCTCTTCGAAAACACCATCTTCGCAGTGCACTGAGTAGCTTAGGAACGAGGGTTTGGTTCACATGTCAACCTTGAAAGCTGGCCAGAGCCATTCTTTGTTATACTTTCTTTCTCTGGTTTGTTTTCCCCACTTCCCTACTCTTTCACGTAGGTCCCTAGCCTCACCTTTGCCCTCTTTCTCAATGAACACCTACTCTCTTCTTACTCCTTATGTGCTCCAGGGTTCCCTTCCAAATAGTAAGACACATTAACTCAAGCCGCATTCATTAGGGACTTAGTCTAATCCATCTGATGACTTTTGCACTCCATAAGAAGAAAGTGTTGCAAACTACCATTTTAATTAAGTACACTTGGCCCACTTAAGGGAAATCTGTGAGGCTGTTGGCACATTTTTTATGTGCAAATGATGTTGCTAATGAATCTCTGATAATCATTAACATCTCAACCTGAAAATATTAATTCATTTTCCAGCCAACAGCCCAGGTGTGATAGATCGTTGAGAATGGTAGGTCTGGAAAATATTCCAAGTGGAGAATCCATTCATGCAGATGCCCCCTTTCCAGTGAATTAGAAAACTCGTGTTTTGAGGTTTTGCTTTTTCTGCTGTTAGATCTGGCCGCCCTGGAGAAGGGGTGCGTTAAGTGCTTTCACATCACACATCTGCGATGACGATGCCTTTTCTGTCTAAGCCCTATCCCTTTCATGCCCTTCCGAGCTCATTCATAAAGTGCTGGAGTAGCTCGGAGTTCCATCTTGCAAGCCAAGAACCCAGCAGAATGGAAAGGGTCACCTCCCCCAGCTTGCCTTGTGCACCCCAAATACCTCACATGTACGGAGTGCTGTTCCGGTGAACATGCTCTGGGGATGCACAAAACACAAGTTCATATAAAAGTCTTAGGGGGGTTATTTTTTGAATCAAGTATTTTCTTAAGAGTTTCTTTTTAATGGTTACCGTCACATGGAGCGGTCTAGATGCTACCTCCATTTTCTATAATACTAGGAGCAGGAAGCAAGAATGCGTCTCCCCCTTTTGAGAACCCTCTGTCCCTGTCTTTCTCTTCTCACTTCAGAACCGGTACAGGGTCACACTTTCTGAGATAATTCTAAATGTTTCAAAATGTGCAGGAAAGGTGTAAAAAGCCAATGCTATGAAGGTAGTCCATAAACCTTACCCTCCCTTCTCTCCCCACCTCCTCCCAGGCGCAAGATCCCATCCATCGCCACTGGAATTGTGGGTGGCCTCCTCTTACTGGTGGTGATTGCCCTCGGTATTGGCCTCTTCCTGCGCAGGCGCCGCATCATCCGGAAGCGCACGCTGCGCCGACTGCTGCAGGAAAGAGAGGCAAGTCGCCCCCAAGGCCATGGGTCCCCTGCCTACAACCTTTTGCAACCCTTAGTACTCCAGCATAGGGACCATGAACGATCGCTGATTTTAACGCTTCTCTTTTCTACATGCAGTTATCTTATTATGCAGGATTCATTGTGATGAAAAATCAAAAAGAATCTCTGAATGGCCGGTCATAAGTGATTCCATGCCTTTGGGCACACCTATCCAATGAGATGACAATGTTTCTAGGGTAGACTATATACAATGGTGATCAGTTATTTAGAGACAAAACTGTTTAAAATATGGCATCTATGAGGAGGGGTTCTAAAAGTCTGTGGGGACATCCCATTAGTGTTTAGTTCCCTGTGTCCAGGAACGATTTGAAGCCCTCTCATGTGTGTGCACATAACCATAGGAGGAGGGCATGGGTCTGTATGTGTTATGTTCTTGGGAAGGCACCGTGCTTGAAGTCATAAAAGATCTTACGTGTGTGGAAATGGCCATGGGCCGCACAAATGGCTGTTCCTTTTTTGAGCTATTTGTGAGTGGTTTTATCCTTGGCACTATGATTCAATATTCACTCAAACCGGCCTTTTGCCAACTTCTTGGCATCCGGCGCTGCATTTGAAGCAATAGTCCCTGGGAGGAGAGAACCACAGAGACTCGTAAACACACCGGTGCTTTTGTGTTACAAGGCCCCACGAGCCACCCAGATAGCCATCATTAAAATGCTCCTCACCAAAATCTTCAGTCCAGCTATATGGCTTGGAAAGTGACACAGAAATGGCATTTGTTTAAAAATGCCTGTGTCCAGTGTCTGCGTGTTTCCCGCGTAAGCTTTCTAAAATGCTTCAGAGAGGGGATCTGCTTTCCCTTGAGTGAGCATGGTACACTTCTTATTCTAAAGCATGGCCACCTGCTTTGGGTTCTATGGCTCTGTGTGTGTGTATTGTTGTTCTGAACTTATCTGATACCCCGTACTCTGCCAGCTCCTAAAAACCATCACAGATTTTCTCATCCCCGTCCACAGCTTGTGGAGCCTCTGACCCCCAGTGGAGAAGCGCCCAACCAAGCTCTTCTGAGGATCTTAAAGGAAACTGAATTCAAGAAGACCAAAGTGCTGGGCTCTGGAGCATTCGGCACCGTGTATAAGGTAGGGTCCCTGGGCGACGGCCCATCTGGAAGCCGTGGGTGCACAGGCCCTCCACGCCCCTCACCTGGCATGAGGGCGAACCTGGACACACCCCAGGTCTGCTGTATCGTGTCTGCATTTTCTGTTACTGGGTGCTTGGGAAATCCAAAGTTCAAAATCCACAGTTTTGAGAAGAAGTCTTTTATAACCGAAGTGACAAATAACATAGTCTCATGGAACACATACACAATAGAAAAAAATGTTTACATTTTTGTAATCATCGAATTTACCTTTCAGAAGGATATGTGACCCAGCCTCATGAAGGTAACAGACTGATGGAGGCCTGGTTTTAGAGCCACTGGTTATAGTATCAACATACTAATGCTCTCTCACATCAAAAATTTCTCTTCATTCCACCCCCATCCTTAGTTTCTCTTTGCATAAAGTTTGATTTCATCTGAAGAGTATAGCCTACAGTGGGGCACTGGAACAATCCAGAGGGCCTTCAAAAGCAGATGCCTACACTTTGTTCTGGGTAATGGTCTATCGTACAAATGGTTTTCATTGCCAGTAGGGAGTTGAGTGATTTTTTTTCTTTCTTTCTTTTGTTTTTTTCTGAAATGGGGGCATTAGGTCAAATAAGTTTGAGAACTTATGAATTCTAAAATCTGATCTAGCATCTTAGTATTCTGGACCAAATAATCCATACTAATTTTAACGTTGGCATAAGCTTGGGGGATTTATCTAAGTGACATGCGTACTCTGATTCTCAGAGTTGAAAGCGATCAAGCTGCAGAGAAGTCCTGAGTCCGAGGCCTTCAATGTTGGTGTGCAGAATTGTGGCCACAACATCCCTCTTCCTTTAGAACCGTGTTGCTAATCAAGTCCATTCAGCTCACAAGCCAGCCTACCACACGCTCTGAAGACTGCCACCCAATGTTGTCCTTTCTTTTTCACACAGGGACTCTGGATCCCAGAAGGAGAGAAAGTTAAAATTCCTGTAGCTATCAAGGAATTAAGAGAGGCGACGTCTCCCAAAGCCAACAAGGAAATTCTTGATGTGAGTTTCTGTTTTCTTCAATCTCTTTAATACCTGCAATCTCTTTAATACCTGGGCGACAGAAGACAGTTCAGAAAGATGGGCAGCATTTTGTTCTGTTTTAGATTTCTTTTATCGGCATGTTCTACATGTTCACTTTTTGTGTCTCTTTTCCTTGTAGCTATAATTGGTAATAACCGGTTTGGTTTCTGGTTTTGTTACAAGTGATGTAATGTCTTTAAGTTCTACTCTTATAGAAAAGATTACCCTCTTTCATTCCATTATATTCCCAAATGGATGGACACTCAACAATTGCAGGCATCCTCTAGTTACCTAAGTCTGGACTGGGCAGCTTTACATACTTTATTGGAGGGCATGCTAATAATGAGCCTATGAGATAGACTGAACATCTATTAGATGGAGAGACGGCACCATAGAGAGATGTGCTCAGCTGTACATGGTCGGTGTCAAATTCAAGCCCACCATTATTTCAGACACCAAACTTATGTTCATTTTGTTTTACCAAGTTCTCTTACCATCATCTTATTCCTAAACACCCTAGACTTTTTGAGTTACACTTTGCAGAGGTGTCTAAGATAAGTAGGGGCAAAGTTTTCTCTCAGATATGTGCAGTCAACTCAACAGCAGAGAGTCTGGTTTTTGTCTCATGGTCTCATATCTAACCTATAGAATGAAAATATAGTAAGCAATTCAGGCATGGGTCTTAATTTAATATGTTCAGACGCGATGAAATTCCCAGTGACAAAACCCTCTACACTTTTCAATTTAATTAATTTTCCCTGGGCAGTCATCCATGCTCTCTATTATCATGGATAAAGTCTTCGTAAAGACACTTTGGTGTATTTCAAATTGAAAGATAATGTATTAGTACAATGCATTAGAAAATTTCACGCACCAATGATATACTTATCAAGCAAAATTATCTCTTGTTTTACTGGTTTATAAAGTCATGTCAAGTCCTATTAGCCTAACATCTCCTCCTGTTAATAGCACCACCAGAAGTAAACGTGGTTTATGTTATTTCATTTACAACCTCTAGCTCCCTTACTTGGACTTCTCAAAAGAAAATCTTTGTGCAGAATTTCTTGTATCATTTCACATTTTATCTATTCAAGATGTTTGAGTAAATGCAACAAAATTATGTTGCAATGCAAGTTGACAGTATTCATAATGGAGAGTAAAGGGACCGGTGACATTCTCAGAGAATACCAACAGTTTGCGAGTAGAATCATTTGTACTGAAAAGGGCCCCTTAGGGTCTGTTGATTGAGAGGGTTGGGGGAGGTAGTTGCAGGATGAGGATGGAGCTAAAAGAAAGATAATGGCTTACTCTCTGTCAGGTGGGTATCACGATGTGGCATGGGGGCAGCATTGGGCCTCCTCTGAATTCACAAAGGAAGAAGGAAGATTAAGAGTAACAGCCCAAGACCAATTCCTGTGAGGTGGACATCAGACCTGTCCCCACCAGCCAACCTTGTTAGCAATTCTGACACAACTCTCTGTGCCGTAACGCTCTCTATTTTTCTACTGAGTGCTAAAAGGTGTTGTATTGGCTGCATAAAACTCACAAGTCATCATCACAGGGCTTTACTAGGGAAGTAAGAGGTTCTAATTCAAGCTTAATCATCGTTGATCAAGACAGTCTTTTCACCGTTCTCTGGCCCTCCGACTCTTGGTGTGTCCTTGGCCTGCTCAAACACGGGTTAAAAAGCTCTTTCACTCTGCCAGTATGTTCTCAGCCGTCGCCCACTCCACTAGCAAGTCTCTTGCTTGAAGAGTGTACCAGTAATCTGATTATAGCCCCTGGTTCACATTGCTATCAGTGGCTTGCCGTTGTTGTTGTTGTTGTTGAAGTGTCACTGAGTTGGTCCGGACTCATTGTGGCCCTAGGCACAAGAGAACCCAACACCAAGCATTCCTGGGCCATCCTCCCAATTTTCTTCCCTTTGAGCCCATGCACGCAGCTGCTGTGTCAGTCCATCTTGTCGAAGGTCTTCCTCTTTTCCCTGCCCCTCCCCTTGACCAAGCTTAATCTCCTTCTCCCGGGCACTTGCTGTTGTTAGCTTCTATGAAGTCTCCCCAAGGCTTGGCAGTCCCATGCACAATGCTGGTGACCCAGACTGTCTATTGTTTTGTCCTGGCTGCTGAAGAATCGCATGGAACGCTGAATACTACTGCGCCTTCCCTGTGAGTGACCAAAATCAAGACTGCTGTGCTCCTTGGGGTTTGTATAGGCTGGTTTTCAGAAGTAGGTCACCAAACTTATTTTTTCAGTTGTCATAATTCGGAAACCCCATTGAAATGGGTTTAGCATCATAGCCACACAAAAGCCTCCATTGACAGACAACGGGGGGCTACGCGTGCGTTTCATTATCTGGGAATTAAACCCAGGCCTCCTGCATGGAAGGTGAAAACGCTACCACGGAACCTGCCATGCCTGTGTTCGTGGCTCAGTCCCTGTTTGCACAGTGGATAAGCACCCTGCTGCTGCGTTGGCAGTTCCATCCCGCCCACCAGCTCTGCATGTGGAACACATGAATATCTGCTCCCAGGAAGAGAACTGCCTAGGGAGCCCTAGGAAGCACGTGGGGTCCACTCTATCACAGGGGCCATTATGAGTGGATCCTGACAACAGCCGTTAACAGTGCACACACACACACACAGAGACACACAGTTTTTCTTTAATCTGGCCAGACACCTACTCTTCATCCTGAAAGTTAAAAATAAGCCTCTTTTTGAAAAGTTTGCCAACTAATGGACCCCTTCTCCCCAAGTCATGAAATAGGGGTTTCGAGCCAGAGGAAGGAACAAATGCCACTTCAGCAGCCAAGACCAAACAATGGACATTCCAGGTCACCAGCACTTCAGTGACACTCCTGCCACGTGACTCGGGGCACAGCCACCCATTTCGGAATACGAGCTCTGCCTGCCAGTGGGCCCCGCCTGGCCGGGTCGGGTAATTCAGAAGATTGTTGTGGAATTCCAAACATACTTGGTGTGGGTCACTGTGTACCTTGAAGATTTCCAAGATAAACAGCCAACAACAAAGCTCACTTGAATTTCTGGGCACACCGAAAGGGCCACACAACTAAACAGCCTTCCCTTTGTGCCCTGGGCGGTGGGGAGGAAGCGATGACCCACTTCTGTTGGGTCTATGAGATTTTAATGAGGAGCTGGCAAGGCACCCTGCTCTGTGTGGCTGACACCCACACCCCATGCTCTGCTCCTTGGTGTCCCCCCTTCCCCACCCGCCTGTTTCAGGTCAGCTCCTGGCTGTTCTACTACAGATGGGCTTGCTCCAACTGCTCAGGATTGCAGATTCTTCTCCCCTCGAAAATGAACACAATATGTATCCAAATCTCAACCAGATCTTGAGAAAACAGGACCAGGCGGAGGAGGTCTTTGGTGTTATGGTTGTCCGGCTTCCCAGACTTGGGGAAGAGAAGTGATTTGTGTTTTTCTGGCAATCCCGTAGCCTATTAATTTTTCCATAGACTTTCCAGTTTAAATATAGGGAAGGCAAAACGGAAAGCGAAGCCAAAACAAATTTATGTATGTGCTGGGCATGTGGGTCATAAAGCTTGAAGTTTTCTCGTCACCCGGTAACCAGAGCCCTTCACACATCACATGTCTGCGTTCCCCATGGTCTGCGTGTGGGGACACACCGAGCCGGAGAGCAGGCATGCTGTGGGCGGGCAGCGGGGAGGAGCCAGGCACCAGCCTGGGAGGTGGCCCCATTTCTGACAGAGAAATGGCATGGCATGGCCTCGCAGATGCATCATTCACGTGGCTGGGCCTCAGCTTCCTCCTCGGGCAAATGGCATACGGCCACTCGCACTTGCCATCTCTAGTTTATCCCACATCCACTCTTTTCCAAGATGAAGGCGTGCGATTCTGTGTGTGCATACGCACATATTACATCTCTAGTCTGTTCATCCCTCCTCTTGGGGACATGTCCTCACGCTGGTTGGCCCGCACCTCACTCTGCGGGCCAGATATAGGCCATGAAGGGGCCTTCCCAGAAGGTTCCCACTGACGTCTGATACTGCTTGAGGCTTCCATGCAGACAGAGCCTAGGAAGGCTCTCCTGAGGACACGGTTTTTTTTTAACAGTTTTATTGGCACAGAATTCACATGACATCCAATTCAGTAGTTCAGTCTCATCGAGATGTCTAATCATCACCACAGTCCGTGTTAGAACATTTTCTTCATTCGTGTATGCATTAACTGCCTCCCCGTTTCCTCCCA